GGTAAGACTTTGTGTCCACTTCCTATCTCAGTGCTGTGACCCCTTATGGCTTGAACCTGTGCAGGTCTTAATGAATCTTGCCACAGTCTCGGTGAGTTTATATGGGCATCAGTCCTATTTTGTCTAGAAGGCATCTGTTACCTCCATCTCTTACAATCTTTCTGTCTCATCTTCTGCATAGATCATGGAACCTTTCCGGGAAAAGTATGATGAAGGCATCCCATTTAGGATTGAGTGATTCAAAGTCTCTAGTGTCTACATAGTATCCAGCTGTGGTTTCTTTGTTAATCACAACATACTTCTAGTTGAGTGATGCACTAATCTGTGGGTATACCATTGGGAGTCATTTTATTGCTATGCCTTTTTAACAGAATTAGATTAGAATTAGGATTAGTGTTAGATTTTCCCCTAGGTCCCATGATCTTAGGTTTTTGGCCTCTTTAACGGTGTCAAGTATGGGATCAACTTACTGGAGTTTGATTATATCCTTTACTCTGATGACAAAGTGGTTGGTTAATCCCGTAACATTTGTGCCCTTATTGCATCTCAGTATTTCTTGTAGATTTGTTACTGTTGCAGGGTACAGTGTTTGTAGTTAGCGAGTGATATCCATGGTGACTGTTCTCCTCGGGGAGCATGCAAGATGCCTCCTAGTGCGATGAATGCTAGTCAGCATGGGGAAAAGCATCAAGTAGGGTACCAGCTCAGCTTCTCCATGTTTGATGGCATAAATATGTGTTGGCTTTAGCAATAGTGTCTTACCATCAGGTTGTGGAAAGCAACTAATAGTTTTGGCAATATCTTTTGATATTTTGGGGAGGAGAGGTAGCATCTATGGGCTCATTTGGCCCACAACCCATTATTTTTGTTTTTTGTTATTGTTGTTGGGTTGTCTTGTGTGTGTGTGTGTGTGTGTGTGTGTTAGAGGTTTTACTTGGTAGCATAAAATATCTAGTTGTGGCATTATCTCCTCCATTGTATGATGACTCCATTGAAATTTGTTTCATGTATGTGTATGTTTTAGGGAGCTTCTACAATAGGAGGTTTTCATATTGTTTTTCAAAAGCCTTTTAGTTTCAGTTGTTCCACCAGACACTCTCTCCTTCACCCTGCTCTCCCATTTCCTTCCACTTAACTGCTCTTATTCTAATTTCCCCTGTATCTCTTCGTAACGCTGTAATATTCTCTTCCCCTGGAAGATCCTCCCCTCCCCTCTGGTCCCTTGCTAGGCACCTAACCTCTGTGATTATTTGGAGAGTAGCACACATATCAAAAGATTAAAAGTTAACATTCAGATACAAGAGAAAACCTGCATGTTTGTAAGCAGTGGAGAGATTGCAGCATTTAAGATAGACGTTAGAATTTAAACTTTATTGAGATATTTTGTAAACACAATCTGTTCCTAGTACAATGCACAAATTCTTTCAAAAAGGGTAGTTTTACTTATTGGAGATAACTGTGGCTTCCACTGTATATATGAGGAATATCATCTCATTCTTTGGCATAAACAGTATAAATTCTTAGAACTTTCATCTTAAATTTACATCACTTAAAAATAACAGACAAGATATTTCTTAAAATGTAAAATTGATTCATTTGGTCATTTGTAGTAATATACATGAACTAAGATACTTCATTAACGTTGAAGTCTTTTGTTTGGGATAGTACTTATTACCAGACACATTAAAAATGAACATCATTACTTTATGTATTTATTTGTTGTTTGTTTATTGGTGTTCTGGCTACATGTATCATGTGCATGTATCATGTGCATGCAGTGCCTGCAGCCACAAGAAGAGGATATCAGATCTCCTGGAAGCAGAGTTACAGGTGCTGGGAATTGAACCCAGTTGTCTGCTACAACAACCAGTGCTTCTAATCACTGAGCCACCCCTCCTGCTTCCCTCACTTCCTCACTTAAATAATTGTTAATTTATGGCAAATAACATCTGATAAATTTATAACACTAAGATAACTTTTTGCTGTTATCTGGAAGAATTACACATGCTACCAACTGAGTGCCTTTTCAATTGACTTGTAGTAGCCCAGGCTGAGGAGGGCTCTCTCACTCCTCTTTATGTGTCTTTTGAAGTGTCATGGAAACATTCAGCTGCAAGTCAACCATATTGAGTTCCTCTTTGTATTAGCAGTGTCAGGCTTTCCTGCACGGGCTTTGATCATATGCTGGTTTTGGATTGACTCCTTTTTTTTTCTGAATTGGAAATTAATGAAAGATTGTTTTCTATTATCTAGTAATCTAACTCTCCCCCAATGTAGTGGAGGGATGGTCTTTAAAAATGAATTGTTTGTCCTCCTTATAATTATACAATGACATGACTCTAGAGTCGGTATTTAAAAGAAACTTTAGTAACTTATAAAATATTTCTGGTAGCCTATTCCCCCAGCATAAATCCTCACATTGCGATAGCTGAGTTCTGCTCTTTTCTAATCTGACTTCATAATTATTGTGATTATCTTCCTTTTCATCTTTCTCTTTTCTTCTCTCTTCATGGGTTAGTGTCGACTTCTAAGACTTTTGAGAGGGGAAATCTGCTTGGATTGGTCACAGTTGAGTTGAAAGAAACACTTTCAACAGAGCCTTCTCTTTCTGTATAGGCCACCCCATCGACCGTTGACCTTTTTATATGGTCTGTGTGACGCTAGTGTTCTGATTTCTGGTATGATCAAATGTGTCCAGAAAAAAAGAACTATCTGAATCCCTTGTTTTCTTGCCCATTTGTAATGGAGTCTATGGGTACTTCACCATTCTCCTAGTCCAATGGGGAATATTTATACTCATCCTGTCCCTAAAAGTAACAGAGTCAGAGAAAAATGTGAAATAATCAGGGTAGGAGAAAGCTTAGACTTGAAGTACCTAAATCACAAGTTCTAGCTCCAACTCCTGAGTCATGTTAGAAAAAGAATACAGCATTTGTATTCATCCAGAGTTTGCATCTCTAATTGGCACATTCAAGGGCAGTCTTGAGCCTTAGAAGTTATAACCTTTCACAATGCATAGTGCTGAAACTAAGTCCCAGTGGATCCAAAGCACTACTGGACCCAAGGCTCAGAGTACACTGCCAAAAGGTTTTTAAGAGCCAGAGGATTGGAGTTTTCTGTGAGATTGTTTTTCGCAGTAGTGTTAGAAGCTAAACCCACAAAGGCTCACCAACATGAGTACCTAACCATGAGCTGAACAAGGACAACAGGAGTAGACATATCTAAGTGGACAGGGATAAGCCCACAAGGCCTCAATCCTACACAAAGAATTATGGGTAACCAAGGAATGCTGAAAGTAGGAGAAATAGTCTTCCCCAGGGAAGTGCTATTAGATAACACCAATTGATTATCCAATGCTAAGTGGTCAGCCTTGAAAATATAGATAAAAGTAATATTATACAGACTATGAAGGCAATATTTAGAACTATATATGTATCTACAGATATACATATGCATGTTACAGCAATTAATAATAATAATAATTAATAATAATAATCATAAAAACAGAGACCAGAGCTTTGAAAGAGAGCAAGGAAGGTATATGGAAGGTTTGGAGGCAGGAAAGGGTATGGGAAATATGATGTAATTATATTATAATCTCAGAAAAGAAAAGAAAAGGAAAGGAAAGGAAAGGAAAGGAAAGGAAAGGAAAGGAAAGGAAAGGAAAGGAAAGGAAAGGAAAGAAAAGAAAAGGTTATAGACTTCTGAGTAGTAAAGAGGTTGTCATAATTCTTTTAAGATTGATATTAGAATCTAATATGATTATATGGGTAAATCAATAGAAAACAGTTACAGTAATGACAGCAAACACTGAGTGCTTGTCATGGCAAAACATATTCTAAACTCTTTCAGTGGACTAGCTCAGTTAATCTCACAACAGCCCAGTAAGTTAGTCATCTCTATTTGGTGAATAAAGAGGCTGAGTGCCCCGGGCTATTATGGGAGCATGTCATGAGCTGTGGCAGAGGGCCCCCCTGTTTCCTGTGTCTTCTCATTCTTCCCTCGTTACTTGTTAAGTGCTGGGTATTTTAAGTAGGGTTAGTTTTTAAGGAAGACTAAAGCGGGTAACATTTCTGCTTCAATTACCCATTCCACCAATCTTTCCTGTTTCAGTCTTTTTGAAAATCTCAGAATATTAATTTAATGAGAGGCTCTCTGATGCTGAATAAATAAATTAGTGGGAGAATGGGAGAGGTGATTTAGAGCAGAGCTTTTCAAACTTTTATATGCATAGAAATCATTACAGACTGTGTTAACATGCAGATTCTGATATGGTTGGAGGCTGTTGAAGAGACCTGTACTTGTAAGAAGCTCTCATCCCGTCTGTACTGCTGCGGTCTCTAGGTCATGCCCTCAACATCCAGTACTTAAAGACAACACCATAGGAGGCCAGACCATCTGCAAACCCTTCGCTTTCCAGTCATGTTTTAAGAAGTGAGGAGCTTAGTTGAATCCAGTTGATAGAGCCAGTTGCAGAAAAAACCTGTTTTCAACTCTACCCCTGGTCTGCTTACCAGGAAAGCAACTCCCGGTTTAAGAAAGAACACGAAAAACTTAACACCACAAAACCAGATATTTCTCTGCATCTCAAGAATCTAATGGCTATCATATGCTTCCAGGTTCTTTCTGCTCAGCTGAGTGTTAAATTGCCACTTCAGTGTTGCTCAGAATTTTCTCTCTCAGAACTGGGAGATAGATTATTGAACCTATCCTGGTACAAGGGCTCTACACTTATCTCAGTGTCGGTTTCCTGACTCTTCTGGAAGCACCTGTATAAAAGCAAACTTAAGTCTGTTTTTATTCCCATGCCTTTGCTCTGGCGCCTGCTCAGTAGACACATTTGAAGAATTCTGTTGGAATTGACTGGATAAGCTAATCTGGATGATTGAAACGCTGTGCAAAGCATCATATACGGAGGTGCGGCGTGAGCTCTCTTCTGTAGAAACAACATGGCTGAGCGTCCCTGGCTGGCTACGCTCATCCCTCTCTTCTCTTTCCAGGGAGCAGAACACTGTTATTACCAGGGCCAGATCCGAGGAAACGCTGTCTCATTTGTTGCCCTGTCGACGTGCCACGGACTCCAGTAAGTGCCGTGTAAATTATTTATACACTTGCTCTCTCAGTAGCTTCTCTTTATGTTTAACGTACTAGTAAACCGTCTTAGTGTTTCCGAAGCCAGAGGCTTTGAAATTATGCTGCCATGTGGTGGCACTTGAAGCATTTTTCTAGTTTCATCTAGATTCCGACAGTCGTGGCTTGGGTAACTTTGTTTTCTGTTCCTGGGGCTGATCAGCTCCGGTATAACCAATTTAACTCCATACTTTTCCTTGGTTTCTTTATATTTTCACGGAACAATAGAACTTCTACTTGATGAAAATCCACAGCTCATTAAACAAAAACAAACAAACAGACAAACAAACAACAACAAAAACAGGCTGCAGATGACCTCAGAAGCTTCTGGTTCAGTAGGAACCCGCAGAACTCACAGCAGCCAAGGGAGGACACACACACACACACACACACACACACACACACACACACTCAGAAAGCTCTGTAGAACAAGTTTGTCCTTCTGAGCTTCCATTCTCACAGCTTTCTCACAGAATGCTTGTGAATAGTAAACATGGGTGTGCACCTCTCTATCTTGTCCATGATGGTGATACCCACGGGCCATTTCTCCTTGTTTTATGGCCTCCTGAAAACCAATAAAATCTACCCCAAAGAATTCTATTGGGACTATATCAATTCTTTCTGGCTTGTTACTTTTTTTTTTAATTTTATTTTGTACACAGTGAGCTAAGACTTAACTACTTTTAAGGTCTGTTGGTAGATATTTTTTGTAGTGAGTTAGAGATATAGCCCTTTTTATCTAATAACCTGTCACTGAGACTCTGCTGTGGCCCAGGCACTAGGAATGTTAAGGCAATTTTAGCATGTGTGAGTCCTGAGACCTTAGTGTGGTGAACAGGGCAAATGTAACTTGCATTCATTTTGTGGAGTAGGGTAAGTATATTTGTCTTCTTTGAGAAAGGAAAATAAATTATACCTCGGCACAATAAAATCTGATGATTGTCACTGAAGGGCAGGTGAAGCATGAGGGCTCCGAAGGCGTGTCACCTGCAGCAGGTAGAGTGAGCCCTGTGGCAGACTCTGAGAGTATCTTCCAGTGAGTGTAGATCTTAAATCTACAATGGCAATGGAATGAGATAGACTGAAGAGGCTGGCTAGTGGCCTAAGTGACAGACACTCTGGCCAGGCTCTGGGAAGGAGTGTGTTAGACAGGTAGACAGAGAGACTGCCAGGCTAAGAAAATGACCAGAGGAGGGAGGCTGGTATGCCTTTATAATTCAAAGTTCCCACATGCCTCTCATGATAAATTAAATGGATATTTATTTGACGTATGTTACTTTTGTAAAGATTATTACAGATATGACATCTTTGCATATTGTATGAGGGCCTTGATTTTCTTACCAGATGAAAAACTTGTTGAAATCATTTTCATAGTAAAACTGGTGTAGCTATCTCAACACAGCATGGCTGACTGCTAGGGAGAATATATTTGACCTTTCTCATATTGATAACACCAAATATGCAGTGGACGGAAGAGTGATATGAAAACCAGAGGCCTTTCTCCATCTCTCTTTTCTCTCAGAATCTCAGCCAGGTCACAGAGTGAGCATCATGCTTGCTGCTTTTCAGCTTGCTTCTCCGTTTCCCAGTGGATAGGGTGTTGTGAGGACCAGGGGGACGGTGTGAACCCCTTTTATGGGATTGTAAGAACAACAGCTGGGTTCTAGCCTCCTGCAGTCACACAAGGAAAGCAAGAACAACACTTTTCAGGATGCTGCCTCGGTTGCTTTAACTCCGGGTGTTTTAGCTGTACCTTTAAAAACTCTCACTTAAAAGTAAGCGAAATGAAATTAATAGAAAATTCACGATGTGTCTAAGTACTGATAGAGTTGTGTACAACTGTTTTTTGGGCTTTCTTAGATGTTATAAACATATTTTGTAGTTTTTGTTGTTGATAAACTATTATCATCATGATTTTACTTCTGAACACAATTGCTTCTAGCAATGTTTTGGAGATATAGTGCTGAGCATTAAAAGAGATAGGCTATCTAAGTTATGATAGTTGAGGTGTAAGCTTTATCACTTCATGCATAATTCATCTTTTATAAGTGACCAAGTATATACTATTGTTTTTCCATGTTTCTGATTGACTGCATTTAGTTAAAGAATGCAAAATGTGGAAATTAGCTTAATAAGTCTTCTTCATAGAGTCTACATGGTACTTCTGTACAAATTCGAAGGATTAATGGGCAATATTTTGATCCATATATGTTTGACGTTATGAAAAAATCTTATGACTATGAGAACCTAAAAAAAAAAAAAGAAATCAAATCTAAGTGTGTTGCCCTCTGGTGGAAATCTGTAAGAATGACTGCTGTTTCCTTTCCTCGTATTTTGATTCAGCTTTATAAAAATGTAGCTCAACTGCTTCATAATGATGTGGTCCTAACTGCGTGCTCTAATTGTTATAGGCTTATCACATATACAATTTTTGTTATAATATAAAGGCATCAACTCTCAAAGCAAATGAAAGAGCTGGCTGGCTTTTTATCATCATCATCATCATCATCATCATCATCATCATGTTAGTAACAACATGTTATGATGAATCAGAATTTTCTAAGTGCAGATAATTTCAGAAGTTTTCTTTCTACTCAATGCTTTCTTGCACAATACATGTCAAAAACCAATGGGAATAAAACTGACTTTTCCCATCGGGCAGTATTCGAGTTTGCTTTCTATTGCTGTGAAGAAATACTGACCAAAAGCAACTTGGGGAGGAAAGGGTTCGTTTCAGCTTAAGGACTCTAGTCCATCCACCTATCCATCTTAAAGGGAAGTCAGAGCAGGGACTCGAGGCAGGAACCAGGAGGCAGGAGCCATACAGGGAGCTATGGAAGAGTGCTCTGTATTGGGTTGATCTCCCCAGCTTGCTAAGTCTGCTTTGTTATTCAGCCTATCCCAATCTGCTCGTGGGTGTGACCACCTACAGTAAGCTGAGCCATCCTGAGTCAATCATTATTCAAGAAAACGCCCCATAGGCATGATTGCAGGCCAGTCTAATAAACATAGCTCAAAAAAGACCCCCCCCCTTTTGAGTAGGTCTTGTTTTATGCTAAGTTCACAAAAACTGTGACAGGTAGTAACACTGTAAACAAAACAATCCACTTGCTATGTGGACTTTGACAAATGTTAATGATTATATAATGTTCTGGATGGATCTGGTCAATTCTTAGCAGGGGCAGAAAGAATAATGTTTGGAGGGGTGTCCCCTGTGTCATATCATATATACATATCAGATATTATAGTGTATTATTACTGACTACATCTGTTTATCTTTAAATTCCAAATTCAGTGTCATCCAAATTCAGAAAGTACATGTATGTTTGAAAACTGAGCAGATGTGAGCATGGCTATTCTACTTGGCATCTGAGAATTTAAAACATGTCGAAGATGTTCCAGCAGGAACGAAAGAATTTAAATGGAGTCAGACCTGGAAACCATTATAGGTATAGCTCAGGGAAATGAATAGATTTCATAACGTCATTAATGAGAGACAAATCAAATTCTGTGTCTATCTGCTCGGCTATGATGTGAACATTTTTACCCTAAACTGAAAGCTTAACGTAAGGATCAGAGTTCTGTTCCCCTCAGGTGCCTGAGCAAGACCAGAATTTGTAAGACCATGAGGATGTTAATAGAAACACTGTCTTCTAACTGCAGTGGTGTCATGGTGGTTGCTATGAGAATGCTCCCCATTGGCTCATATATTTGCATGCTTTGCCCCTAGTTGGTAGAACTGTTTGGGAAGGATTAGCTGTCACCTTGTTGAAAGAGGTGTGTCACTTGGGGTGGGCTTTGAGATTTCAAAGCTCCTGCCAGGCCCAGTCTCACTTTCTCCTGCCTGCTGCCTGAGGGTCGGAACTTAGCTCTCAGCTCCTTCTCCAGTCCCATGCCTGCCTGTTGCCGCCATGATGACCATGGAGTAACTCCCTGAAACTGTAAGCCAGCCCCTGCTTACATGCTTTCTTCTATATGTTGCCTTGGTCATGGTGTCTCTTCACAGCAATAAAACAACACTAAGGAACTCCCTTTATAGGACTTCTAGATAGCAGATTGTCACCTCCAACGTAAGAGGTCACAAGCCACTCTTGATTTGTGCCTCCTTCCTGGCCCCTGTCTGTTGAGGCTACCCAATGTTTCTTCTGAAGCTGCTGTTATTTTGTTTAATGTCAATGCTGTTTTTACAGTGCTCAGGTCAAACCTTGGAGTCCTTGCTGATAACTTGCTGGCAAGTCTTCATCAAGCATTGCAACAAATCTTGTTGATTCTCCTTTCAAAAAAATATCAAGGCTGGGCATGTGGCTCAGTGATATAACGTGTGCTAGTCTATAAAGCCCTGGAGTGAATCCTCAACAGTGGAAAGAAATACACACATACAAGTGCATACACATAGGCACAGACACATAGACACACAGACCAACACTCCACACACGGACACAAACATAGTCACATACCCACAGAAGACACAGACATAGACCACACACACACACACACACACACCACACAAACACCACAGACAGACATACACAGCACACACACACACACACACACACACACACACAAACACACACACACACACACACATATATATATACCACATACCCCTTTAGAATTTGGTCAGTTCTCACCTCTTCTATCATTACCACCCATCTTCTTTCTCTTGGATTACTATATTAATCCCACCCTAGTAACCCCTGCCTTTACCCTCACTATTGTAAAGAGTATTATAATACAGTAGCTGGGATAATTATTTTAAATTGAGGGAGAACCAAACATAAGGGCTTATACCTGTAGTTCTAGCCCTTGGGAGGCAGAGGCAGAAGCAGAGGCAGAGAGGGAGAGAGGGAGAGAGGGAGAGAGGCAGAGAGGCAGAGAGGCAGAGAGGCAGAGAGGCAGAGAGG